CAGGACGTAGGGATTGCAACTTCACTCGGTCATCATTTGGGCAATCTGAGCTGTATAGCAGTGTGGCGTTGTTTGGTCGTGTGAATTGCGAAGAGATAGTAGGTACTGCTAGCATTGAGTGTCTCTGACTTCTGTGCAGTGAGTGCTTATAAGGCAGGGGCGTTTTAAAATGGCCTCATAGCCAACCATCATATTCTGAGGAAGCTATTGTCCACGAGAGAATGCATTTTAATAACACCAGTGGTGATTACGGTGACATTTATTGTAATGGAGTGACCAAGATGACAGTTCAGTCCATTGAAAGCATTCGGCCCCGGCGGAAACTATCGGGTTCTTGGTGATATTGTTGATGATAAGTCATTTAGACGAGGTGCCCTTCTTTTATGACTTTCCGTAGAATCGAAGTGACTTTTGGTTTTGAATAAAATCAAGCATTTTTTATTTCTATTGTCATCGGTTGATAGTATTGTTTTGATGTGCGTTCTAGAAACAAAATATGACAAAGACCTTTCTTCAAGTTCAAGTGGATTTGGAGCGGTTTTACATATCCTAATTTATTGCTTTATTTGAAGCTGGACGGCCATACTTCAATTAGTGTTGGATCTGCCTATTTATCCCAGAACATCTCAAACAACTGCTGCAATTACGCCGTAAATGTACAGCCCTCTGCTCACTGCGTGGTAGGTTATACTTGCTTCAGCGAAACCAGCCAATATCTAAAAGGCTCTACTACCGAGTCCGCGGAAGTCCTAACGGAGGGACGCGCAATATCACACGACTTTGCTTAAACCCCTTGTTGACTAGACCCACCTCTCCGTGTGGCTACAATACACAGAAGTCTGTATTTTCCGTCCTGAGACTAAGTTTTTTTGCCCCCCTCCTAGAACCGTCCCTGCCATGCCTTCAATGAGCTCAGCTGACAGCCGCTTACTACGGAATTGTAGCGCGAGTAGGGTGCGTAAACAGGCATGAGTCAGTGACCAGCGCAGAGGCTAAACCGGTCGGCGGGTCAGTCGGCCGGCACGGTGGGGCAGGGAGGTGGACGCGGGCCGGGGTCACTCGGGTCAATAGCCCGAAGCTATGTCTCGGCCAGAAGCCGACCCAGACAGTCTGGCGCGACCCGACCAGGCCGTTCTAAAGCACAGGGACTAGGAATGAATTAGCCATTTTCAGGATTGTTACAGGTTGGTGTCAAGGTTGGTGTCAAGGTCACGTGAAACTCAGGTTAGGTCATTGAACTTCGGTGACCTTGATTCACTTCTCGAGTTTTACACGTGTCTAGGACAGTTTTTGGAGCTCATTTAGAATTTAGCATCCATTTGAACATTTAAGAAGCAGTTTTGGTGCCTTTGTAACATGTTGCGGAGCTGTGAGTGGCAGTTGACACCAACTATAGATACCCGGCAAGAACCTACTGGTTGACCTGACCTGACCTGACCCGACCTGGCCTAAATGCGTGAAGACATCATGTTTGATCAAACCTTAAATGATATTTGTGATTAGCACCCCGAAAAAAACTAGCAGCCACACTTTACGACGTTCTAACAGTTTCCATTGTTCCGATTTTTGGGTCATTGACCTGACCTGGAAGGTCAACTTATGATCTAGGATCTTAAAAATAGACATTTTTTGTTTCCTCTCGTCACCAACAACACGCTCGTTTTGTCCGCGAAGCTCTAAGTCCATCAGAGGCCAAACGGCAAGGGGTATCCAACGACCCCCCCCCCTCCCCTATACGTTCGTGGCTGGCTAAACAACAATACGGGCGAGGGTTAACTCAGTCTATGGGCCACGTAGCAACACACGGTAAGTGACATTTGAAACAACGTTCAAAATCAAGACGAAAATAATTCGATCAGTTTATAGGTCAGGTTAACGGTTAGGTCACCAGATGTCAACAAAGGTGAAGTGGTGCATATTTAAACATTTTCTGAAACACCGGCGCATAACTCAAATGAACCAATATTGCTGCAGTGCCGTAGAAAAGCGCGTTCGATAGACCTTTAAACACTTTTGACTCAAGCAAGGAACGGACAAGTTCAAGGTCATGACCTGTCCGGAAGAGGTCATGTTGCGCATCAGTCAATGCGCATCGTCGACCTAAGCACATCGAAGATGTTTTCATCGCTCTAATCAAAGGCAAAAACCGCCGGGGACCTTTCATGACCTGCGATGACCTCGGGGACATAAGTAAGGTTCCCATGTCTTATTCAGTGTGTCAAGTTTACTGGTGTCATTATATTTGAGTGTTTAGAATACCGTTTGTCTTGTAATACGTATTTCAATTTTCTCCAACTGACCAAAAATAGCGAGGTCGCAGATTGTCCTAAACTTAGCTCAGCGATATCAAAATTACGAAATTAACATTTAATGCACATCGCTCTTATCAATCGCTCAAAGTTCAAGGCGATCGTTCAGTCAATGTGGCTATGACCAGCATTTTAATTTTTTCTGAGGCGAGGTCACTTTACGTGACCTACCTGGTGACCTGACCTTGAGAGGCATGGGCTTGAAACGTTCACAGCATGTGCGGGAAACCTGCATTAAATGGACTATCCCACCTTTAACATGGGGTTTGAGTTGAGATAGCCAAGTTTGCGGCGAGGTTCAGAAACCACTATCTATCTAGGTTGCAACCCCCGCGGCCTCTTGGTGTTGAAGAAATTCGTTCCCTTCATTTGAAAATGGGCCTTGCACAAGGCCCTATCTTCAACATGGAGCGACCGTTAGTGTGACGTCACCTCGTTTAGTCATTCTGAATTAAATGGGTTTGTTCGTTGAAAAATCGCTTAAAACTTGGTCTGAACTTCGTTGTGGTGCCTAGAGAGTAAAAAGAATCTGCTTTATGACAGTAATGTGGCCTGGGGAAGGAGGTCATTTTGGGCTGTGACGTCACATATTTGAAAGTTTGTGTTTGGAATATGGGAAGCCTAAGATGTTTAATGAAAAATAAATGCCAGAACCGTGTTCCTGGTCATCCAATCTATAAAGTCGGGCACAATTTAACTGGTTTTAACAACATTTTAGAAGGTGGGATAGTCCCTTTAAGAGGTGTGCCGAAAACGGTTTTGCTCTGCGCTGCCGTTTTTTTTTTTTACTTAATATCTGCGAAAAAACGCAGGATACGTCCAACCGCCCAACCCCCTCTCCCCAGCGCTGGTAAGATATCTTATGATATATATCCTTTTGAAAGACCTTTACTATAGGTCTTTCGAAAGCGCTATACTTAAGGAAAAGAATTTGAGCACCCTTAACTTTTCACATGGCACGTGCCACGACAGACGCCTTTAGATTTATAAATATACAGGACTGCGGAGTCGGAGTGGGAGTCGAAGCAGAAGTCGGAATCGGTTGGAGTCGACAGCTGTGACCGGAGTCGCAGTCGGAGTCGGAGTCGATTTTGGAAACCGAGACCGGAGTCGGAGTCACCGAAAATCTGCCGCCTCCTCGGCCCTGCCAGGTCTGCGGAGCCAGAGTCGGAGTCAGTCCTAAAAAATTCATCGACTCCGCAGCCCTGTCAATAGAAGTTAATTACAGCCTAGAAGGGATATTAGGCTGCCCAGCAAAAAAAAAAAAAAAAAAAACAGACCGCAGGTCAATCAGCCCAGTGGTTGCTTTTATATAAACCTCTCAAAATCGTTACAGGTCGGGCCGCTCATACTAAGATTTTTTTCCGTTTTAGTGAAAATACTTTGCTTCGCCCGTTAGCTCATAATCCGCAGACACCACCTCAAAAACACCAACCGCTGGCCGTACCGCCGGCGCCCCACACACCCTGTCGACCCCGAGGGCACGCCGTGACCCGTCTCGGGTCGACTGGGGTAGGGGATGGGGAGAGGTCCGAAGTCCAGCTGTGGTCCGCTCAGCCCAGGTGACCATCATTGTGCCCCGGCGGCCAGTTTCTGTGAACTTTGACCTACCGCTGGATACCCGAGGGCTCCCCTCCCCTATCAGCCGTAGTGAATAGCCTCTACCCAGGCAGTGCGAGCTATCACAACAAACGTGCGTATCTGGGCAGCGTGCGTAAAACTCCGACCTCCCCTCGCCAGGCTCAATTTGGACTTTCCCATTGGAAGTGGCGCAGTCAGGCTCAATCTGATTCGGGGCAGAGCAAATAGCTGAAAATTAACATTTTCCCTGATATCTGGAAATATACGGAGCTTTCAAACGTGCCACTTTTAGGACGGGTGCAAAAAGTTGTTGTGGACATTTCCAGAGTATCATTATGCATCTCCGTCGCTTTAAGTAAGAACGTAGGTCGATATTGCCGTGTGTAACGTATACCTACCACGCAGTGAGCAGAGGGCTGTACGATAAAATAACATTATAATTAGTCATCATTATTAATGAGAGTTGTGCAAACCTAAGACGAAGGCGACTGCCAGATTCAATTGGCCGTACAACTTTATCGCTGATGCCTCCAAGTTTGTTTTGCTATTCGATATTTACGACCGAACCGATTCCGGACATACGCCGCCGTCCTCTCCCCTCCCCCCGCTCCCTCCGGCAGCTGTCTGATGGGCAGACGGGCCCGTTAAACACCCCTCCCCTTCCTCTGGGACCAGCAGCTGGCTCAACAGTCAACACACCCGTCAGCAAAGCTGCACACTCGGTTTATCAACTGCACCACCAGATGGTGGGACGAGCTGTCTGCAGAGGTCTGCCACCTAGCGGTGCACTGGTGATATTCCGTGCACGACGCTGCACCGGGTCGGGCAACCGCACCAGTGCTCGAGCCCACGTGGTGATGGGAGCGACCCCACCCAGCCCGACCCATGTGTATCTGACTCGCCGCGGTCCGGAGACCGGCTGTGATCTCTGCGTCGTGCCACGGGCCTACGTCGAACGGTGACTCGTACGGCCGGCGACTGTTTTCAAGATAAACACGCTATCCGGCCTGGTGTTGGTCGCCGATGAGCGGTACGCGGTAGTGTGTCGACAGCAGGAAGCCGTAGTGCGTATCGGCCGGGAGACTGAAGCCGGTCCTCTTTCGTTTACAGCTGCAGAGTAAGCGGGAGATGTTCTACAAAGGCGAATCGGCGACGGCAGGGAGGGACTCCGGAGCGGCGAACTCAGCGGCAGCCGCCCCCGCCGCCGGACCCGGCGCCCCAGCCACAGCCCGAGACGGCCGGGAGGCCAGGGATAATCGACCTCAGGTGAGCATTACTGATAGAATAATTCATGTGCTCATGTGTTTGTATTGACAGATCTGTACCATATATTCTTGTTCTTGACTTACCGTTATCGACACAAAAAACGAAATGTGTACGCATCGTCGTAAATTACCCGAATCTCGGTTATCATTCCGATATCAAGCACCGACACACTTCTCTCTCTGTGTGGTCGACATATGGGCATTGGGGAGCCTTCTGGAGATCATTCTCAAAGTCCCGGAGCATCCCTACGTAGGTAGATTCAGTTGTCCATGTCGATGCCTCAGTCCAAAGTCAGATGCTGAGTGTGCGCTGAGTCACCTTCTGTCCACCGTCCACCGTCCACCAGACCCCATAAGGATCAACTGCCCACCGCGCGTGGCCTTATTTGTACGGTCTGAGCGCCTGTGTTATGCAGAGTGACTGCTTCGCGGAAATGGTGATCTTTTGATGGAGTTCAGAGCAACTGGCTGCTCCCGAGAGGAATGAGTGTTTATTCTAGTGACGGTGCTTCGGCAATATCTATGAGGTTGAAGCCAGCCGATGAAGGATGGTCATCCGTAGGATGTGGGGTGAATGATATATCCACGGTGTTTTTTATACCTATTTTCAAATTTTCATCCATTCTTCGAGTGTCATTGGAGACTCTATGTTAGGATATGTTTCGCAGCAAAAAATAGCCGAGTGTTGACATTCAACTTCAAACGGGGACAGTACCAAATTCAAAATGTGTCTGGGCTTCACTTCTTACATTATGAGGGCATCAAAACGGCTAGCAGTCGATGTATCAAGTATTCTCAGCGATACATCATTGTTTGTATTGCTTCGTAAGTCTTTCATCACATATGTTTCGATAAACAAACCAGATGCCATGCTGCTATAATTTGTGCACATCGTCTCGTCCCCATATCAATATACATAGATTGCCCTATCGTTTTCATCGAAGTATCATAATTCAGTTGCAAAGCTCCCATGAATGAAGTGTGCGATTTGATTCATATTTTAACGTCAGGTCTCTTCAATCATCTAACTTAATTGGATGCGATTAAGGACTGGAAGGGAATTTAATGACTGGAAGGGAATGACCATGTTCCATGGTCATTCCCTTCCAGTCCTCTGTTCCCCTATTTCCCCCATCCCATCTTCCCTCATCTCCGCTGTTCCCGACACACATAGCGGGTCGCCAGCGCTCAGTTACATCACCCATGTCCCTGGTGTGACTGTGCACGGAATGTGACCGCCCGGCGCCAACCTCCCGGGAGCTGCACACCCGCAGCCTGCAGACGGCAGCGCCGCCGTTCGGCCGCCGTCAGTGCGACCAGTGAGGGACCCGGGCTCGTGCTGGGCTGCGCTCTGTGCCGAGGGTGGGGTGAAGCCATGATGTCCGTGGTGCTGTGGGAGGAGGTGCAATGTACGGTGAGTGGTCGTGACGACGTGGAGGAGTGCAAGGAGGAAGGCATAATAAATTGGTAAGAGTGTTGGAGCGTATACCATCTCATTTATGCTGGCTTCTCACCACCCTTACGCTTCCTAAACTAGCAAGTGTTCCCTTCATTCGTCTCTAGTATAAAGACCGCAAATATCCATGTGTGTTTTTTAATCTTATCATCACCGTACTTCTCTGTGTCTCCAGGTAGCGCCGAAGCCGGACTCGGCACCGGCGCCGTCACCCAAGGAGCCTCCTCCGGCTCCGCCCAAGACGGTCCTCTCCCGGAGTTCGGCCCCGCCTCCACCACGCCGATCCGACTCCGAAGTCACTCCCGCCAGGCCAGGCCGACCCGAAGAGCCTCCGCTCGTCAGGCCCAACAAGGCGGATGACCAGAACCGTGAGCGGCAGGCGCGGGAGAGGAGTCGCCGTCAGCTGGATGGATATGTGGGGTTCGCCGATCTGCCCAACCAGGTGCACAGGAGAGCTGTCAAGAAAGGCTTCCACTTTACATTGATGGTAGTCGGTGAGTGGAGAGGGGGAGGAGTGGGGGGGGTGGGAGGGATGGAATTGGTTGATCGGGGGAAGTAAACGGTCGATAAAGAATAACGGGAAGTAAGAAGACAGTAAATGAAAGGTTAGGGGTACCTAAAGGGATACCTTTAGTGTCAGGATCAGTTCAGATCAGGGGACATCAGGGACATCTAGCGTTAAAGGATATGCTGTTACCTTGTTTTATATCAGTTTGTTATTATTTGCACTGAGTTAACATTTGAGTGCAAGACAACCATGCAAAACTAATCGCAAATGGGAAACCAGGAGAGAGACATTTTTAGACAAAACGACATAATAAAGTGACAATCGGCGACCATGCCTGACCTTTCGCTCTCAAGCGAATCGTTGCTGAGCATGGCCGCCAATGTGCCGTGCAGTCGCCACTCCTGAGTCGTTGTTGACGTCCCATGTGGCTCTCAGCCAGCGCTCTTCATAAACAACGGTGCATGGCTAGTCCAGGACTGGGATGGGGCGCGGGCGCACCACGAGGACAGTGGGAGCCGGGGGAGGGAGGGAGGGGTCGGTACCCTGGAGGGGTCAGGGGCGCCGATCCGTCGGTGTTTACGCCCGCTCACATCGACCGAATCGGAGTGATGATCGGAACTGGGCTGGGGCGGGATGATGATGGAGACGCTGCCTAAATGGGCTGAGTTTTCCCGATAAAACTTTTTAGGTAATCTTAACATCTCTAGCAGACCCTAGACTGACGCTTCTTTCACAACTGAAAGACTTTGAACAAAACGATACACCTAACGATGCTATAAATGATCCAGAAGAAAAAGAAGAAAGACCCAGTCTTTTTCAACACACTCTTTTGAAATACCTACAACTTGAGACGTTTACGAGTTGCGAGTTGCCATTGTATGTACGTACTAAGTACTACATGTGGTGCCTCAACACTTCTGATGATTTGATGTTTGTTGTCATTTCAGGCGAGTCTGGCCTGGGAAAATCGACTCTAGTCAACTCTATGTTCATGTCCGATATATACAACAAAGAATATCCCGGGCCTTCACATCGAATCAAGAAGACGGTGGCGGTAAGTAGAGACATGGCGGGACGCCCAAAGATCCATGGCTAGGACTCTTTATTGCTTCACTCCGCAAAATAAATAATAAATATGTTGATGACTTCAACTTAACTGCATCTGATTCTCTGATTGCATCGAGCAAACAAACGTGTCTACAAAAAAAAAAAAAAAAACAGAAAAGTGTTCGTTGGAGCTAGAACCTACATACCTACATTTAAAACGTACATTACCATGCAACATTACAATATCTACATTTAAAACGTACGGTTTAAAATGTAGGACGTAAATATTGCCTACTTTTGCTTACACGGCGACAAAAAGAACATAAAAGTGATTGTTAGAACAATGCTAAGCGTGCATCATTCGCCCAGCTAATCATCAACATATGTAACGCGCAATGTTCAGGGACTTGCAACAAACGATGACGTTTGAAACGGCATTATATTGACCCGTTACCTCGTTGTGTTTAGGTGGAGAAGACGATAGTGAAGTTGACGGAGAACAGCGTCAACCTGAACCTCACTGTGGTCGACACTCCCGGGTTCGGAGATGCAGTGGACAACAGCAACTGGTGGGTATCGCTCCCGGGGCGCATGGGGAGGTTGGGGAAGCTAGGAGGGTAGGGGGGGGGGGGGGGGTCCGGCCGGCTGGAGCTGACGGCCGCATAACTTCAGTCGGGAATGTGATGGCCAGGCACGGGATGGTTATGTATCTCACGTGGCAGGGAGACGGCCAATGAGTCAGTCGGGAAATGTTTGGACATCTAGCCTTGTTTTGTCTGGGTGCCACAGATGGCGACGACTTTTGATTACCGCTGAAGTCCAGTCCTCATCTCTCGTAATGTTGTACAGTTTGGACCAGAGGCGGCAGTTTGACTTTGTGACCCAGCGGGCTGTCATTTTGACCTCATCTCTCACTGGTCCTGTGAAGTTGATTAGGGGTATTGTAGCATGACTGGGACTCGTGCGCTCCATAAACGTTTCTCTTCTGAGGGTGGTTTGTATGGATTGCGTTTGGCTAAAATAATTAATGCAGATACGCGAAGAATCCTTAAAATGTTCACTTTACTATGCGAGAGAAGTGGTATGAACTGCAAGGGTAACGTGAATAGACGGTAAATTATTTTATCAGTATTTTAGTTTTAGCGTCAAGCTAATGTGCCACGCAAATTAATCTTCAGTATCGCATCACAGTTATGTTGCATATGCATGTTGTCATCTTAGTGGAGTATATTTGTTCACTGTGTATTGCACAGATCAATATGTGTACCATACCGCCCTATAAAGCAGCTGAGAGTCGCAGTGCTCACTGTATAGTCGACTACAGAATGATGTTCCACTCCTCAGAAGCTATCAGTTGTCCGGAGCGCTAAGTTGTGCCGTTTATCACGCAATTAAGCGTGTCGATTGTGAGCATTGGGACAAAGCTATAATTTGTTAACTCAGCCCGTGTGATGCGGCACAGCCTACCACTCCAGGCAAATAATTGCCTGTGAAAAGTGGAACATCATTCTGTAGTCGACTATACCGTACATACTGTTAAGTACCAACAGTCCTTATACCTTATGCCCCGTACCACAGCTGGCAGCCGGTGATCGAGTACATCGAGTCCCGGTACGAGGAGTACCTGAACGCCGAGAGTCGGGTGTACCGCACTGAGGTGGTCGACACTCGGGTACACTGCTGTCTGCACTTCCTCGCGCCCTCCGGACATGGTCTCAAACCTCTGGACGTCGAGTTCATGAAGCGGTTACACGACAAGGTCAACATCGTGCCCGTCATCGCCAAGGCCGACACCATGACACCAGAGGAGGTCACCAGGTTCAAGAAACAGGTAAGCGTGCGATGGTAAGGCGTCAGTACTCAGCACTAAGCACTCAGCACTAGCACTCAGTCTTAACACTAACTACATACCACTATAAAGCTAGCACTAGCACTCAATCAGCAATCGGCATTAAAATAAAGATATTCATAGGAATGAGTTGAAATTAGCCAGAAATCGTTTTCAAGGAAGAAATCGCCATCATTGCTGGGTGTTGTGTGACGATATGAATGGCACCTTTGTGGTGCACGACACACATCAGCGAGACATGATAAGCCCTGATTGGTTTGATAAGGATAGTTTATGACAGATCCCTGAGCACCGCGACTCATATTAGTTTACCGCCATCAGCTAGCCAAACACGAGTAGTGTGCCATTACTGGCGGACTTTGCAGTGCTGATGACTCGTCCTGTTTGGCTTTTTCAGCGGGATTGTTCATGATACAACTCATGCTCTGGTATTTTAATGTAAAAGTAAAAGCGGTCGTCTTGTTGCAGCTTTGCTTACATGATTCAGATATTGAAAGGCTTGACACGGATACGCCTTTCATATACCAAACAACTAATCATTCAGTATTTACCATAGGTATGTTTTTATCTCCCCACCAGATTCTGAACGAGATCGCGCAGCACAAGATCCGCATTTACGAATTTCCCGACTGTCCAACTGACGAGGACAGCGGCCTTCAGAGGGCGATGAGACAGCGAGTGCCGTTCGCCGTGGTAGGAGCTAACACCGTGCTGGAGGTAAGAAAGAGCGGAGAGAGAGAGAGAGAGAGAGAGAGAGAGAGAGAGAGAGAGAGAGAGAGAGAGAGAGAGAGAGAGAGAGAGAGAGAGAGAGAGAGGAAAGGAGAGAGAGAGAGAACGGGGAGAGAGACAGAGAGAAGAGAGAGAGAGAGAAAAAGAGAGATAAGAGAGAAAGAAAGAGTAGGTGGAAAAAGGGAGAGAGAAGGAGAGAGACGAGAGGAAGAGAGAGATGGAGAGGGAGAGAGGAGGCAGTGAATATAGAACAGGTGAAGGGGGAGGAATAGAAGCTACAGATAGACTATAGCGTTAGATGGAGATAGGAAGATAGAGGAGTCGAATCGTACAGATGTAACGAGATGCACATGCTGTACATATCTCCTAGATATTGCTTCATTCCTTGGATATGCGAATGTTTTTGTAATCTATTAGTCACAAAAGAAGCGCTGTTTTATCAATTCCTCCGGCCGTCTCTTCTAAACAGGTGGACGGCCAGAAGGTGCGCGGTCGTCGCTACCCGTGGGGCGTGGTTCAGATCGAGAACATGGAACACTCCGACTTCATCCCGCTCAGAAACATGCTGGTACGTAGTGCAGACGGTCTACAATACATATGACGGACCGCGGAATGATCGACATTCCGCTGCACATCTATTCAACGAGTGCATGTTGCAATTTGGAAGTTCACTCTTTTAAGGAGATAAATAAGGAGATAAAATTACTTGTTTTATTCATAAATCATTAAATAGTTCATTAGTAGGAACCGTATAACCATCACTCACATTGCGCGCTTTTGTGAAAGATGAATAATTGTTCCACCTTGGTAAGACGCGATAGATACTCAGTCAACGCCCTATGCAATACGCATGACACATCTTCCTGAGCCCCCCCCCCCCTCCCCCAGAGCAGGATCACCATGCAATATTTTCCCGCAGATTCGGACTCACATGATGGACTTGCGAGACGTCACAAATGCAGTGCACTACGAGAACTTCCGTTGTAAACGGCTGGCCGGTCTGGGCACGGATGGAAAGCCAGCCAAGATCGTCAACAAGTGAGCGCCGTTGGCTTTATGCATGGACAGTTATAGAGCTTACATATTTACCAACAGGTGGCAGCAGCATAAACGCCTGTATCTAGACTGTGCCGCACGGCACTGAAACGCCTGCAGCTAGGCTGCGCCGCCGGGCTCTAACGCCTGCAGCTAGGCTGCGCCGTCCGGCACTAAACGCCTGTAACTATAGGCTGTGCCGGACGGCACTAAAACGCCTGTTGCTAGGCTGTGCCGCACGGCAGCACGTCAGAATAGCTAGGCAGTTGTGCGTATTTTGTGGAATAAGATGTCTTCTATGCTGTTTGCCGTCGTGTACCGTGGATTGTGATCCTGCCTTAAACCAATAGTCGATAATCATGGCACACATAGGTATCTGGTATTACATTGATCTAGGTAGGTACTCGTACACCGATGAAGCATGTTATGTCAGAATGTTCACACTTCATGCCATACATATCAACCTGTATGATAATCATGGTCATGCACAATGTAAATAAGCAATTGCTCGTGTTTATGCCATTAAGTACAAAATAAAGTCTAACCTAAAAATCATTTTAGGAACCCCATCGCCCAGATGGAAGAGGAGAAGCGGGAACACGAGCTCAAGGTGAAAAAGATGGAGGCCGAAATGGAGCAGGTGTTTGAGATGAAGGTCAAAGAAAAGAAGAACAAGCTAAAGGAATCCGAAGCTGACGTAAGTCACGGTTCAAGCCCATTCAGTGAACCGAGTTCTTGAGCTGAAGAGGTACACACATTCAGTTTGCATTGCCTAATGTCGCTCAATGGTTATGGAATTGCTCTAAATCATAAACCTCGCAGTGTCGTGCGCTACACCACTGTATCGAGTCGCTTTGCTGTTCTTGGTGCATCTCTGTCGTTTGATTCCGAGTTCTCTGTTGATATTTGAAACTTTGCAATCCCACCCACGAATACTTTCCTCATGCACACAACAGCTCTGTTCTGCCACCTCCCCGCCGCTGACCAGCAGCCCCCCCCCCCCCTCCCCCAGCTCGCTCGGCGCGAGGAGCAGATGCTAGCACCGCTGGAGGAGCAGCGGCGGGAACTGGAGCAGGAGAAAGCCGCCTTCCAGCGAGAGAAGGAGGAGTGGGAGCGGCTGAACGGCATCACACTGGACCAGCTGCGACGCAGGGAGCTGGAGTCCAACAGCAAAGAGTAAGTGGTGACGTTTTCGTGGATGGAGCGAGAGGACACTCTCAGGTAGGAAGACGACAATATTGTTGACCATTGGTCATATAACTTATGAACAAATTGAGACAGGGGACGGTTGATATGCGGCAGTATGTCTTTTCGTGATTTTTCATTGTTAGTATGATCAAGATTCAAGCCATCCAAGTTGTGTGTGTGTACGAGTATTTTCCACTTCTCACGAAATCCCCTCTCGTTAAACTCGCCGTCACCATGCTGACCTGCCTTCTGCAAACATATACCATCCTCCCTGGCGCGTCTCCCCGTCCAATCAACCCCCTGACCGTCTCCGGGTGCGCCGGGTCTCTGACCGTGAGACAATCTCGCTCTAACCGTCCCCGTGTTCGCCGGGTCCTACCAACAGCAGCGGCCTCTGTGAGAGCGTGGCCAGCCTGGCCGCTCCCGGGGCCGGGCCGCGCGCTCTGCGGCGCAGCCAGTCACTCTCAGCTCGACAGAGGCTGTCGGTCCGTCTGCACCGGCCGCCAGAGAATTGTCAGCAGCAGTGAAAACACTAAATCATAGCTGGATTGAACGGGAACTAACAGAGGAACACCATGGAGTCCGTACATTGGATTCTTTTCAGAGAGTCCTTCTGAGATTCGTTGCGAGATTTATTCGTGTAAATATCGATCCGCGAATCGCTGGCGCGATTGGCATGATGAGTGGCAGTTCGTCTTAGAACCTTACAGAAAACATTTTACAGGGTGTGACACTCGATGGTGTGTTGATTTTTAGACAACTACGACTGTTTTGTGTGTTTAGAACGGAGAGTGATAGGTTTGAAGAGCTTGCCCAGCTGTGATTTTGAACCTGAATCTCCTGTCCTCCGTCCAAGCTGAAGCCCAGAGGCTTCCTACCAACTGCATGCATGGTCAGAGAGGGTGGCGGTGACACGTACTTTTAAAGCTAGCTTCACAGGCTTGGTGGAGGCTCCGGAGCAGGTCGAAACATTCGGTTCTCTTCTAGTCTTAGTTTCTGACTGTTCTTCCGTGGTGAAGGGCGCAAAAGATGTTCAACATGATGCAACCTATACCTGATGCCTATCTACCTACCATGCCCAATTTTACGACCCAAACTACCTGTGAACGAATAATTGCTAGTGCGCCATGACGAGCCCATAGTGCGTCCTTTTCTAAACCACCAAGCAGACAGCAGTCCCACCAAAATGACACCCTCCACACCGATCTGACAGCGGTTCCCGTCTCTCTGGCTGTTACAGCGGCGGAAAGGGCCGGTGGAAACTGACCATGCCCCGCCTGTCAGGTGTGCCTCCTGCCTGGCCCGGCAGCTGAGTGCCTGTCCGCGTGCCTGACACTCCTGAGTGCCTGTGCCTGACACTCCTCAGTGTACTCTTTCCTCGGCGTGCCCGAGACGCACGACCAGCGCAGTGCCCGTCTGTGTGCCTGTCTGTCAGCACCTGAATGTATAGGCCAGTCTGTGAGCCTGCTGTGCCTGCCTGTATGTATGTCTGTCTGTGAGCCTGCCTGGCAGCCTAAGTACATTGCACGTTTGTCAGCGACATCTTGTAATAAGCTAAGCCCTGGCATAGCTCAATGCACTTTACTCAAAAAGCTTTTTATTTTATTTTTAGAATAGCTTAAAATGTAAAACGACAGACTAAGTTTTATTCATAGCCCCAGATTTTATCACCATTAGGTACATCTATGTTTCATTGTACTCAGAAAAAAACGACGCAAAATGTCGTTTGACAAAATGTCAAGCGTCTTTAAAATCGCTTTGTAACAAAAAAAAAAAAAAATCGTCGCCTGCACGAGAGCTTGAAAAAGTCGCACGGCGCTCGTGTCATGAGACTCAATTGTCATGTTACGAATACAGTGCATCATCGACCACTGCTGGATCCGAGTCGGTGAATCCCGTTCCACCGTCCCGGAGGTATTCCAGTTGCACAACTGCCTGTCGAAAAGCCCTCCCTCGCCTTAATTGTCGTTTATGAATTCCTTCTGTTTTATTTTATTTTATGTAGCTGCCTGCCCTAGACGGTGCCAGAAACGAGGCACGTAAGCCTCGGCACCGACATGTATAGCCTGCAGTTTTCGTTGAGATGTCTAGAAATGGCATTCAATGTTTCTTTTCTGCCTCCGGAACAAAAAGTATGAACTAGTTGATGGCATTCAATGTTTCTTTTCTGCCTCCGGAACAAAAAGTATGAACTAGTTGGTGTCATTGTGCCCTCTAGAAAGCATGCCTCTGTTGAATTGGTTTCAGTCACGATCGTACACAACACACTGGTCGTTTGGGTTTTAAGTTCTGTGACTACTGATATAGCTTAGATAGATGTTGTAGAGGTCTTCTTGATCCACCTAGTGTCTATCTTCTGAGGTGTCGGTTCTGCCTTCTTCCTAATTTCTACACTCTCTCTTACAGGACAGTAGATGGGAAAAAGAAGAAAAAGGGCCTCTTCTAGACTCTGTCTCTGTTTCGTACGTGTCTTCTGTGTCGGGTTTTGTGGCGGTGTCTCAGCACGAGGCACGCCCGAATGTGGTGGTTGGTCCGCTGAACGCCCCAGCGCTCTGGCGGTACAGCCAGCCTGGAGCTCGGCTTTGAGACAGTGGCTGCCCTCTGCCCGGCTCAGTCACCTCTCTGCCCGGCTCGGTCACCCTACATCAGCTCTCTGTCACCCTACATCAACCCCGCGTGACAAGCTCGGCATTCGGGCCACTCGGTCTGTCGGAGGTGGCAGTCAAAGATGCGCTGCTGATAGAGAAGGATCTATGAGACAGGTGATGAGTCAGTACTTATCAGTCGACAGTCAGTACTTAACGTGCGGTACTGGGTGACCTGTGAGAGGTCGAGGTCAGTGAAAGGTCAAGGGTTACACGAGAGACGTGACTTTGTGGACGTGCTGTCAGGGAGGGTGCTGCGGAAGTGGACGAACCTGTGGACCAGCAGTGGACAGGCCTGTGGACTGGACCGAGTGTCCACATGGAGCGCCCTTTACGCGTGCCGCCCGTGTGGACTGTAACTGCGACCCACCCCTCGCCAATGCTGTGTTATGCAAGGTGACGCGTACCGAGCGCTGTACTTGTGGCTCACTATACCAATGTGCTGGTGCGTTCTATGTTTGGCGATGTGCTTCGCGGCAGAAATATCCAGACGCAATGTCTGCTGCCGATTTTGACCTGGAACCAACCCTGGCCTGTACTTGCCTGTTTGTTTAGCTTGTGATCCTCAGAAGACGGCTAGATCATTTTAAATACAGGCCTCTGAGGTCGATATTGCCGTCGTATTTACTGTGACGCCCTTGCATGCATTATTGTCAGCCAGATGTCAGTTTCGTAAGGCTTATGTTTTCGCTTGTGCGTCTGCGTATACATACGTGTCTTAGATATTATCATTTACATGATAAACGCCTTACATCGAATGGTGTTTTGTGTTAGCTAAGTTCGCATAGCTGCTTGTCTTGCGAATGGTTGTAGGATATTTGGCGCTTGGAATGGCTTTGGTCACTGAAAGTTAATGGTCTTCCCGTGGCTATTAAAATGCTACGAAATATCTGACAGTGCCAACAAGTCTATACCTTTGTGATTTTTGCTTGACTGCATTCTCAAATAATAACTTAATCAGTAAGCGAACGTTGCACGACACTCATTATCAATAACAACGTTAACCAGGAACAACTTCAATCAATCAAATGCATTTTGTCTTAGCAACAATTTGCAACAATTTGTGAGGCCGAAGATAAACAAATCGTACGCAACTCATTTAAGCATCTAATGGCTACTGCACCTATCTACGCTGTATGCTGTACATGTCAATGTCGTTACTCGTGATACGGCACTGGTGCGAATCGCTGCGGTGTCTGACCAATGTGGTGATCGCTGCGTCAGTCTGCTGCGCCGCTGGTCTCGGAGAGCTCGCTTCTAGGATATGTCTGAGTCGGTCGGTGGTGTGCCGGGACTATAGTCATGCGTGATGTGAAGGTCAACTGTATTTTCCCATATTTGTAGTATCAAATTTGACAAATACATTCTCAGATTCACTGATGATGTCCCTGAGTTTGATGACAGTCTGCAGTGGGAAAAGTTGACTGATGAAAGGTGGGTAATAAGGTGAGTCATAAGGTGAGTCAGCATCTGTGGTATGATGAAATTCCGGGCCATAAACGTCACTTGCTATTAGAAAATCTACTCCATTTTGGTCTCATCGGTACTCATTCAGCAATCTTTTAGAGCGAGGTACTTCATCATGATAACGTTTTAACGTTAGAGTTGCAGTAAGGCCAGGCAACATGCGATTTTCTTCACGAAATGTATTTTATTAAAAATATGACTGACACTGTGTACATTCTGAAACAATCATCAAATAAGCATTAATTGATTGGTTACATTACACATATAAATTATCCCGTCAATATGTGTCATATTAAGGTAGGTATGCTCAGATCTGATACCTTATTCGACTCTGGAACACAACAGCTGACTCCAAAGTAAGAGAAGCAAGCAATCATTTAAAGCTCCGGAGTTTCCGACGATGAAATACGACTTAGCAGAACCGTGCAACTGATGCCATTGATAACAGAACAGTGACATATGACGATATGCGCCCCTGCGGGACACAGAAAAGACACGAGCTCCCAGGGAGACAGTTCAGTCTCCGGTCCCCAAGAGACTGGGAGACGATGACCACGTACCCTGGGGGTGGCTTCGAACTCCGTCTAGACGCTCCAGATAGTCTCGCAGACATGAGCTCGAGAAACCGTACAATCTGCTGAGCGGACGTACGGATCCTGAGACAAGTTCAACGACTCCGTGCCCGTTTTCACAGACACATGTTGAGACATTCGCCTTCACAGGTCCTCGTCTCATCACTATGTCTTCATTGATAGTATCCATGACGAGCACAGTGAATCGCCACACTCATTCAGCACAGCGCTTTACGAGTAGAAATGTCAAAGTCGGCGCTCACGTCTCACTCACACTTCTCGCGATTCATGTCACCTGAAGCGCGGCCCCAGTCCGGAACACGTCTTTCACCGGCTAACTGGATGGCTGAACGACCACACGACGAGTCGCCCACCGGTCAGTCGGTTTGGGAGCCAGAGTCGGCAGTCTCACTGGACCGTCCTCAGTCTCTCAGGGGAGACAAGGCCCACCGAGAGACGATACTCTCTGAGAGACGAACCTCACAGGGAGACAAGCGTGATGCTCACGCGGCTCCCCTCCTCCTCCGGTGTCACAAATCCACCCGTCCTCCGCCGAGACCGACGGGGATGGCGGCCAGCTCTGTTCGCATGCAGAGGAACTCACCTCCCACGCAGGCCAGACCCAGGCAGACGAGCTGCACGAGCCACCAGGTGGCGCTGGCTGGCCATCGGCCGCTGACCGCCCAGCAGAGGAGTACGTGGTAGAGCAGAGTGGTGCATGAGAAGTCCAGGCAGAGCTTGGTCCGCTGCACCACCCACCAGAGAGCCAGGGCGCTGCGGTAGGCACAGGGGACAATGGTAAGTGGCAGCTCTTGGCAGTCAGCAGTTTACATCATGGCTGAATGTTTGGTGAGTGATGAGTATAGTTATGTCTGGTACAATAACAATAGGTTGATAAAGTGCAAGTCTTCTATGCTCTATAGGAGGAAACAATGTGTAGATGTAGACTGATAAGTTTAGATGGATGACGGATGTGGCTCACCTGAACAGTGCATTCAGTACATAGGCAGTAGAGATGATCCTGCCATGACCCTCCGAAAGGTTGAGAACCTGAAAATGGACAGTTGGTGATGCAACTGATGTCACAACTACTTCACAGGTGATGCATTTACTGGGGAACTCTTAAGAAAATAAAAAAGGTATCAGTCTGTAAAAACTAAAATGGCATACCTCCCAGCAAAAAGCAATTGATTAATCTGACAATCTGTAGTGTAACTATTCCAGCTTTTATTTCTTGCCAGAATTCAATAATTAGCAACTGCATAGCATGGTGACATTCCCCAATCACCATCATATGCAGAGTAAATGTCTTGGAAACTGACTCTGATTCACCAGAAGATATGAGGAAAGAGCCAACACAGGACACTGAGGCTGCTTACCTGGTAGTTAAACACAGTATCTGAGGATAATAAATCACCAGTGATGAAATTCATCAGTATCAGCCAGATTCCAAGACCTAAGTAGTAGAGAGCTTGAAGACAAACAATTTGGCTGATAATTAAAAATGGGTCCCATTTGGTGTGCCGAAAATGACCGCCCATTACAGAAAATGTATGGACCACCACAAGCTAAGCAGCTTCACTGAAGCCGAGCATAAGACACCATCTATCTTCGGTAACCTATTGATCGAAATTCCGGCAGAAAATCAGCCTATACTCGTTACAACACAGCGATTCTCTAGCACAGTCACGTCCGTTGTTACGTCTTTTTTTTTTTTTTTTTTTTTTTTTAGTGGCCCTAACTTACGTTACCGGCCTCGCGAGGAGGGCGGCGACCTAACTACGCCGCGCAAAACAAACCGGCCGTCCTAACTAAGACCGGTGGCCACTTTTACAGCAAGACAACATGGGAAAACCCATATCCATGTACTATGCCATGAATATGGGAAAAAACCCATGAATTTACGTTAAGACACATAAATGGCAGTGAAACTTACCGGTAAATTGATGTTTGTGAAGGGAGGGAAGGAGGAAGTTTGTGAATGGTAAGGTTACGAGAGTTGGATGACAGGAATGGTTTGAAGAGTGGGGGATATGTCGCTGGGAGGGATGGGGTTTGTGAATGTTTAAGCGTCACGATGAAAGGAAATAGGAATGGTTTGGAGGATGGGGAATCTGTCGCTGCTGCAGTTGGCGGCCGACGGTTGTCTGTGGTCGTTCAACCCGGCCGCCGCCGCTGTTCAGCGGCCGGGGTCCGCTGGTGTAGCTCGCTGGGCCGCTGAGCCTCTAAGCCTGCTCCAGCGGCAGGAGAAAACCCGTCTGCCACCGAAGCTCTGTGTTTCGGCACCAGCGAAAAACCCGACCCATCCCGTATCACAAGTCAGCCTGGTGGTAGCGAAACGGGCGCCTGCTAACAGTCAAGGCCGTTAAAGAAGCTCTGAGTAGGGTGATGTTAGGACGAAATCAAGTACCAGGTTTGTCAATGTTGTGTCGTCCCCGAGAAGCGTCGGGAGGTCGTTTTTAAGGTGTTGTACCGCAAGATAGTTAGTGATGTGTCTTCGTTCGTGATGCAATGCCGTGCATGCGATCAAAATGTGCTCTACGGAGATGCGTGTGTCACAGGTGTGGCAAATCGGAGGGCCCGTCCTATCAAAAAGGTGGCCATGGGTGAGGCGAGTATGACCACACCTCAATCTGGCCAGGGTCACCTCGCGTATCCTGTCTGGTTGGTTACATGTGACCCATGTTCTAAGTTCTCGTTTGATCGCATACATATGTGCAGCATGATGTTGGTCCCATTTGCGTTGAAGGTACTCGGCGAATTTCATTTTTATCATATGAATAGCGTCCCCTTGGGCCATAGGTTCCACAACTGGATCAGGTCGCATTGCAGCCTCCTTTGCGAGGACATCCGCACGTTCATTTCCTGCAATACCGTCAGCGGCGTATTTAGAAAATCGCGAAGGGGGGGGCCAAGGGTTTGGAGGGCGCCACCTCACCCAAGGAGGGCGCCATACGGTCGCGAGATAAAAAATCACTCAACGGGGGGGGGGGGGGGGGTTGGGAGGCGTTTTTTACCATGCCACCAGTTTTTTTTTTGCGTAACCTCGTATAGGTCGTGCTGCATTGATTTTGCATCGTGTGTATTCTTTAAACTCCAGGTCACAAAAGGTCGAGTGGTCTTGAAATGCTGCGCCGAAGGCGCGCGAAATTTTTGAAAACAACCTTTTCCTCCGCTTTTTAGGCACGCCTTTTATACGATCACTGTTCAAAGCTCCTCTCGCTCTTTTACCAAATTTGAAGGTATAAAAAATACCTAAGGTTTGGTCGGGCCGCTGCCACACAAACTGTATAGAAAGCTTGGCTCATGGGTGTCGATGTATAAAAGTTTATTAGCGGTGGCATATCTACGCACCAGATCACCGTATCGGATTGATACCGGAGCGCGAGATGCGTAAACATCATCCAAATTACCTCAGACCAGCCTTCATAGCCTTCTCACAGGTGCATACAGTGTACCCACATAACCAGTTTCAATCACCGAAACTTCAAATGCCTGCTGTTGCGGCCGAACCTGTTGACAATACTTAATCGTAATACATATAGATGCCATGATGCACGTAAAGTAGGATCAATCCGTTAAGACCAAAGACGTGTTTTATGCATCGTAGAGCGTAGATAGTTTTGGTAGGTATAGGTACTTCATTCATTGTGCTGAATGCACGTTCATTTGTGGCAGTTTTCACAGGCAAGACATCAACTATGTGCAATAGAACGACTAAGTTGAAGAACATGCCAAAGGAGTAAATAAATGATAGGAGGGCAGCGATCAACGGATGTTGCCAATAGGTAAAAGGGCTGCGATCCACAGGAGGGCGCTAATAGGTAGAAGAGCCCCGATCAACATCCCGAGTTTCGACAGTAGGGCACCGATAGGTAGGAAGTTGGCGAGCAGCAGGAGGGCGCAAATGGATAGAAGGGCAGCGATCAACAGGAGGGCACCAATAGGTAGGAGGGCCCCGATCAACAATCAACAGGAGGGCGCCACCAGGTAAGAGGGTGGCGAGGAACAGGAGAGCACCAATAGGAGGGTGGCGATCAACAAGAGGTCGCCAATAGGTGGGAGGGCGGTCATCAACTGCAAGTCGCCAATGAGCGGAAGGGTGACGATTAAAATGGGCGTGGCAATGGTGAGGAGGGCGCCTTTGCTCAAGAGGATGACACGAACAGGAGGGCGTCTGTGCGGAGGGCGCTGGTCAACAGGAAGGTGCCAGTAGATAGGAAGGCGGTGATCAACAGGAGGGTGCCAGTGGTTAGGAGGGCGGCGATCAACACGAGGGCGCCAATAGGAGAAGGGCCCCGATTAGCATTCAACAGGAAGGACTAGGGAACCAATAGGTAGGAGGGCGGCACTGAACAAGAGGGTGCCAAAAGGGAGAAAGGCGGCCTTCAAAATTTCACATGAGGGCGCAATAGGTAGAAGAGCGCCAATAATTATGAGGACGCCGATCAGCAGAAGGGCGGCAATGTGTAGCAGGGTGGCGACCTACAGGAGGACGCCTTCGGGTGAGAGGGCGCTTATTTACAGGACAGCGGCTTACATAGGCGACCACCGTTACGCTTAGAGAGCTACAGCCTACAAATGTGGTTGGAGGGCGCCCGAGGGAGCCCTCCAACCGTATTTGGAGGGCGTATTTGGAATGGGCGTCCTCCGAGGGCGCCCTCCATCCGTATTTTCCCTGTAAACACATTCGCGATTGGAGGGCGCCCTCCAGTCGCGATTGTTTTTCGATTCGATTATATCACAATTGCATTTGCGATTGGAGGGCGCCTTCGGCGCCCTCCAATCGCAAAGGGCGCCTTCGGCGCCCAAGGGGGGGGGCCATGGCCCAGTGGCCCCCCCCCTGCCTACGCCCCTGAATACCGTAATGACCTGGAACCCAAAGAAGGGTCACATGCTGGCCCTCATTGAGATCTGATGTGATCCTGAGAATATTGTAGATACCGTGGTGGGTAACATTATCGGTCCTTTCCAGTGCTTGAAGAGCGGATTTCGAATCAGTACAGATGGTTGCTCGATCAATCTTTTCTGCCTTGATGTGCTCCATAACTTTTTCGATTGCGTGAACTTCGGCACTAAAGACTGTCGTAAATTCTTGAAATGTGTTCATTTGTGATCACTAATCAGCGTCAGCGACTATAGTTTCCGCTATGAAGCGTTTGATTGGCTGATCTACCGTCGTAAGCACAACTCAGTCTGCTCAATAGAACGTAATTCCTGCCAGTACTTTTCTATCACCGTGTGCGCCAGTTATTCATGTTGATGCAAGGGTGTTGATGTAGGTAATTGTTATTCAGCCCTTATGGCTTATGGTATTGTGGGTTCCAAAATAAAAACCAGTATTTTTGCGTGTTATGTGCATGGAGGACTATTTAACTTTTCATTATTTGGCTTTTGAAAGTCTCATGTCTATCACTTTCCTCAAACTATTTTTTGCTACAATTTTGTGGTTTTTGATGCTAATGTTCAGGAAAAGATAACTTAATTACTAAAGGAATTTGAAGTATTTTTATAGAGGAAAAACTATATTCCATCTTTGGTAGAGGCTAAACAGTGTTTGTGGCAGCGCCAGCAGCTTACGTGTTCGTTATTACGGGTTCCTAATAATGTTGCATTGGTAGTTCTAAACTCAAACTAACTGCATGCTAATTGATTGACACTGGCCTCTGTGACAGGTGGATACATTATTGGTATTATCCTGTAAGGCACTTAATTCCTGCGTAAAGCACTGATTTCAAAACAGGGAATGGAATATCTTGGCCTAGGATACCTAATTGTTGGGCCATAAAAGCTCCTGATTTGTACTAGGTTCATCTTGAGCTTCAAAACTGCTATCCCAGTTCAAATCTCATGTCAAAAGTGGTATACTTTATTTCCTTAACCCGCGCGGGGCTGGGGGGGTAAATTTTACCCCCCTCGCGAATTTTTGCGATATCTCAAAAACGGCGGCGCGCAGCGCCGCCAAACTTTCAGTACCTTTTCTTACATCAATTTGACACGTTCCCTGAAAATTTGAGCGAAATCCGTCGGAAATTTTTTGAGAAATTGACGTTTTAGTGACGTCATGTTCGCCATTTTCGCCTCAAAAACGGCAAAAGTTCAAACGCCGCTAGCATCTTCATTTTTAAAGGAATCAAGACGTAACAAAAAAGGTTATACGTAATTTTACTTTGTTTATCAAATGGCTATCTCGGTTTTTTGAAAATTTTGGATTTTGGCCTAAATTTTTTCAAAAAACTGACTTTTTTGGGAAAATCATTATAAAATCCAAAATTTTGAAACTATCGAAAAAACCGGAATATATGCCAGAGAAGTGGTCTATGTGCACCTACATACCAAATTTTAGAAGAATCGATTCAAAAATGTGGGAGTTATTCAAAATTTTATGATGTCACGACACACAAATTTTTTGAAAAATGACTTTTTTGGAAGTTCTAGACCTCGTACGGAAACAAAAATAGCACCATTCGATTCGCCGTGAAAAACTGCATCAGATAGACACCTTTTTAGGCCTTAACAACCAACTTCAAAATTTGACCTCACTTGACCTGACCTTGACCTGACCTCGACCTGAAATTCATCCAGAGGTGGTCCATATCACTTATTGAGTGTGCCTATTGAATTCTATGAGTAAAATGACCCATAAAACATGTGTCGCACATGCCCTTTTCTATATTTTGTTTTTTGGTGACCTGACCTGACCTGACCTGACCTTGACCTTGACCTCTGAATGGTATTGTATGCAACGAATATTGTCTTGGTAGCCTAAGAACACGTTTTGGGCGATCAGTCTCAGTCCATGACTCCATTCTTCGGCAACTACGGTGCAAGGCCGATACTGTAGAAACTTGTAATTTGTACCCTTGACCTGACCTTGACCTTGACCTCAAACTTTAAATTAAGTACATGTTTTTAGTAGTTCGTGATGAGAGCTTTCGATTGGCGTTTGAATTTTCCAAATCGGACCATTAGTTCGGGAGATAACAGGGGGGGGGGGGTAAAATTTACCCCCCCCCCCAGCCCCGCGCGTTCGGCTGGAGACCCCAGCCCCGCGCGGGTTAAAAGAGGTTTGAGGTGAAGTGTGGCCCTAAAGCTCCATGAGAACCTGAGGGCTGAGGCTAGTCTGTCCTGTGTTTAAGCCCTGAGGCCAGATTGCTTTACCTATATTTGATTCTGATGGTGCGAACTGCTAGCCCTTGTCATTTTAACTGGACTGGCCTATGAACCAGGCATCAATCAAACAACTCAATAAGAGGGTACCAGACTTGTGACTTCAAAGACACATGAAGACAAAACAAGCCACAAGCTTGGTCTCCCAGCTTAATCCCCTGCACGTCTGAGTATCTTCATGTTATGAAATGTGTTTTCCCAAGTGGGAATCACAACAGTTATACTAAGTGTTTATGTAGAACCTTATCTGAGTATTATCAGCTTTGCAGACAAGTTAAACAATCTGGTCAGTTTTTATCACATCTAGTAGGTAGGTAGCATCCTAGGGTCGCTTGTCAAAGTTGCAAATGCTCCTTGGGACATGGTAACTTGAACTGGCAGATGCTAATGAATGAATAACAATTGGCTTGCATCTAATACCTACAATGACTAAATTCTGAGTTTATTTCAGATTGCTGACTAGTACCTACCAATGAAAATGGAGACGTCTACAAGTCCACTGAACAAAGAGGATTCCGTTTGGACATACTTGAGAAGCATTGCTAACAAAAGACATCCATTTAGTGATCCCCTATATAAAGAAGGCAATGAAGCTTGTCGAATGCAACTTCAGTATGTTGCTGTTGATGAAGATGATGATACTCTGCCTGATAAAAGGTGGGCTTTTTTGTATGCACTGGCTTATCCTCTTCAATCTATTTGCTTTCTATTGGTGATTATTTATGATTTAGTTTCGGTCGATGTGCTGTAACATCTCATACACCTAGCCACATATACCTCATATAACTAATCCTACAACCTAGCCATCTACTCATATACATGGGTATATTATACATGGTTTGTAATATGTACCAATTTGCTGAAGTGTAACCCTGACTGTCGGCTGATGCTAATCTAACGTGCCCCACCCTGGCAGTGAGCCGGTGAGCCGGTTCCAGTGCGCGGTGCCCGGCTGCGGCCGCTGGCTCGGCTCAGTCCTGGAGCAGGAGGTGCACTATTCGACCAGTCACCGACACAGCTGCGGGCTGTGTCGTGCTCAGCTGCCCTCGTTCCACCTGCTGCAGCTCCACCTGGAGGAGAGCCACGACTCGCTGTTTGCTGTGCGGGCCCAGCGACAGCCCATGGTAAGCGAACGTGATGGTGTGGTATGGGAGGAGGGGGGGGGGGGCGAGACGAGGTCCTTATAGTGCGTGGCTTACATGGTGCTAGTGCTATAGCTCAGCTACGGCTGACGGTGCAGCTGGTAAGCCCTATTTTCTTTAGCCCTATTTTCGATAATGTCTCTTGTTTAGGTGTAAATGGTTTTTAAATATTTAGTCACCGGCTTTCAAATTCACCGATTCGTTGTTGATTTCTCCTGTTAAACATCGCCTTCCCGTGTCTGTGTGCCCACAGTACCGCTGTTTTCTGGAGTCGTGTGACGTCCTCTCCGCCGACGCCGACTCCAGGCGGGAGCACTGCACGGTCCACCACTGCTTCCCGGCCGACTTCTGCTACTCCCCGTCCCCTCCGCCACCTCCCGCCCCTCCGGCTCCCTCCCCGTTCATCCCCTCTCCCTCATCCTCCTCCTCTGTGCCCGCCCGGCCGCAGCCCCGACTCCGGTTCTCCTATACGGTACCTGAGCACGGTGTCAGCTTCGGGGCCGGAGCAGTACGGTCGCTCGGTCGGGAGATGGCGGATGGAGACGCCTCGGAGATCGACATGGCGAGCCTAGCGGCGGCGCTGGAGCCTGAGACGCTCTGAGATGGACTTGGTGATGTACCTAAAGGTATGTTGTGCATTACTCGCACGCTTCTCTGGGACTGCGGGGTGTGCGATGGATGCTCGATTTATGTATTATGATACTGTTTATTCCAATGTTCATTCTGTCAGAGCTGTTCATTTTTTGTAGGTTCATTTGCTCTACGAGCTTTGCTCATATCACTATGCGCTAGCATCCTCACTTGGCAGAGCACAGTGTGGCAGAGCACAGTGCGTGCTACTGTGCTCTGCCATTCCCATCAAAACTATATTGACTTTGATTGAGTGTCTGCTACGTGAATAACGGGCACAACTTCGAGCCCCTGAACAACTTTCCTCGTGTTCCAAACCGTGTAAGTTGGGCAGCGTAAGCTTTTAGCTGAGTCGGTCATGAGTTCTTGCCTTAGAATATCTGTTTAGCTATTTTCCTTGTAATACATGCTTTTGTAATTTTGGATTGTTGAACACGTTGGCGATGGCTAAATGGAATTGTCATTATGTAACTTAAATATATTGATAAAGGTCATGTTCTTAGGCATCTAGGCTGAATTGAACTTGTGGTTTCTAAAGGCTGAACCAGACTCTTTTCGCAGTCAGGAAATGGCGTGCGAGTGTCTACTCATACACATTAAATTGCGCTCGCATCAATAGCTCGCAGGGAGCTGCGTACTACTCGTATTGATGCGGACTAATTTGATATGTATGAGTAGACATTCATGCGATTTCCTGACTGCGGAAAGGGTATGTTCAAGCCTTTGAGCTGTGTCCCGCGCATCACAAGACAGCGTATGTAAACTCCCACGGCACACTGTAGTCTGTAGGCACTAGGCATAACTTTATTTAACACCAACATCATTAAATTCTTTCACGCATTGCATGGCATACTTCACAGTACCTAAAAAGGTCTTGGGCTGGGTAAATAGCGACAAACAGGCAAGCACAACGACCTGACTCTCTAAATATAACTGACTGTCGTGCCCTAACCTATTGGGCAATCAGCCAGCTAGGTGGGTTAGGCATATCGGCAGCCATCTATAGGGTAAATATCACACTGACCGGGGTTCGCAGTCCCAACACAACCATTGGGCACAACCCGTCTCGAATCCGCTCTTTCCTGCACGTCGGAAGACTACATATTTCATTCATCACACCACAAAACAACATCTCTACGTGGCTCTCCATCACGCCCGTCACGGATTCTCCGTGACGCCCGTCACGCGGCTGCCGAGCGTGTCTTCCCCGACCCGGAGTCGGATCGCGTTGCTCGCCGGAAGGGGTTCCAGGAGAGTCGCCGGGAGGCGGCCGTCTTGCTGGCGGTGCTGGCCACGCTGCCTGCCGGGCTCTGTTTTCGGCTGGGCGCGGCTGAGCTGACTCCTGAACTGGATACAGAGTCCCACGAGCCGTCTGGAGTAGCCGGCGGACTCTTCGGCTGTCGGAGGAGAGAAAGGGGACGGTTAGCTGACCCCGGAGGTGAACCGTTTCATGAATCGTCCGGGGAAGTTAGCGAACTTTTCGGCTGCCGAAATGGGGTCTCTGTGGGGAGATGAGGGTTGTATTGTAAGCAATCGTACATGCATTGAGCTTACGACAAACTGAAACAGTCCTCCTCAGTCAGAGTCCTCAAATAATTCGATTTAAGGACCATCTGTTGTGCTCCCGTCTATTGTATGTACTGCTCTCTTCCTCACATACACAAACTGCACGTATTTCCTCACCTGCTGTGCCGCCCGGTGCTGCGGCGTGACCGCGGTGACGCTGAACTCTGTGCCGGCCTTTCTCAGCAGGTCCACAACGTCACTGTGACCGCTCCACTTGAGGTCCTGCTCCCCTATGGCCACAATATAGTCGCCGTCCTTCAGACCAGCTCTCTGTCGGCGCCGGGCGCAGGCACGTCAGATTGAAAACGGATACAGACTGACTGAGAGTGAAACGACGGAACGCTTACGACATAGATAGTTCATGTTATCTATGCTAACGATTAAAGTTTTTTTGGCAACGTTATTTTATACCAGAAAGCCGCGGCGTAACGCTTTCTAACGAATTACATCCGCAATGCGAGTTCTCACTCTTAGTAAAAAAAAAAAACATCATGCGATCCATCTATATTTCAACACTGCCATTCCCACAACCCCGGCAGAGTACCTACCCCTCAAAACCCACATAGGCCACCCAATGCTCACCTGTGCCGCTCCATCCTGTTCCACATCCACCACCACGACAGGCGCCTCCCTCTTCAGACTGAACCCGAGCGGCTCGCCGGGCCGCCGGCTCACAGTGACCTCCCGGGGCTGCGACCAGCGGTGGTGCGCAGAGAACGTCTCCAGAGGGCCGAGCCGGTGGAGCGGGTCGGCCACCGGGTACCGGCCGAACTCGGGCGGACGGGGGGCGAGCGGCCGCGCCGAGCCGCCTGCGAGAGGGCGCGGGTAAATGGTCAATAACCATGGCGTCGAATAACTCTGAGACTCATGGATTGAGTTCCGAGTCTTATCAGAGACAATCATCAGAGTTCAGACTCCTGTAGGTACAGCAGCTGTGCTGAAGGGTCCATGTCGCAGCTGCTGAGATTGGGATTCGTTGTATCGATATTCGGTTGTGCCAGAAGTATAGATAAAACGTCATGAAAGATAAGTGAGATGCTCTGAACCTGCCTTCCCCATTCCCTCTCCTTCCCCATGTCTCTGTAACGCTGACGCGCTACATTTTAAACGAGTATTTCCAACATTCTCTCATGGCGACGACGGCGTGTGCACCGGGGTTTGGGCGCCGGCGCTGGCGTCACCGCACCGCCGCGCCGGCAAACAGCCCCCGGGCCACGCCGGACCAAAAGGGTACGGCCGGGGCGAGAGGGGACCCGGCCGTCAAAACAACCCGGGCGCAGAGGCGGAGGAAGGAGGAGAAGGAGGAGACCACGCGAAGACCAGGACGAACACCAGTACCTGAAGACGCCTCTGTCAGCCATGAGCAGCTGCACTGGGGAGCCGAGGGAGAACGAGGCCAGGGGGAGAGAAGAGGACAGTCGGGAGTTGCAGTCTGGCCTGAGAGCTGACCATCGACGGCAGGACGTCGGCTGGGCCGGACGGCCCGTGTGGCCGGACGGCCCTGCAATACAGGAGGAGGGCTCACCAGCAGCGGTAGACCATCGGCGGGGCCCGGCCGGCCCTGCCGGCCGCACGGCCCGTCAACCGGGCGGCGCTGAAAGAAGAGTCGGGGCGTGCAACCCAGCAGCGACGGAGGAGACCAGGGCGGCCGACCACCTTGGACCGCCAGCCATGTCAGCAGCAGCAGCCGCTGGCCACCTGCAGCCTCACCATCAGCTCAGGCAAGGTTTGGCCAGGATCTGGTCGGGCGCTGGGCTGCTAACCTTCTATCCTTTTGCCCAGCTCCGACCCACTGATGTTTCTCTCTGATCTTACATGAATAGAAAATTCCTTCCTATTTTGGTCTGGGTACCGTTAGGGTATGGATTTAGGATGACTGACACGTTAAATTAAAGGGGGGGGGGGGCGAGAACACTCAACGGAAAGCGCGCGATTTAATGTCAGATTTGTTTTGATCATTGATTTTTCGTAAGGATTTGGGGACGATATATAGGATCCTGTGCGTCAAGGAGAGAAAGATTGGAACTATTTAGCGAGGAAACTGTCATGGCTTTTCAAGAGGATTGCAGTTTTATTTTTAACAATACTGTCCTGGATTTAACGTAGGGAATTAAACTTTTGTCTGTCCTGGTTTCTTCCAAATGTAAATACATAGCGTAGTAAAATGTAAACACATTTTTGATGAGGATGTGGTGATGGTCGACCAATATGACGAGAAACCCAGGAATGTCACGGGGAAGCCGCGAGTGCGACAGCGAAACACGGATCTGACACTGCTTATTTAGGTGGTATCTTTGCACTGTTTTATTAAATGTTTTTTTTTTATCCAGAAACATTTGATAGGAAAATAAGTTTTCCATTATCTTTGGTACATATTGACGACGATATTCATTAGGAACTTTCAGCATGTTCATCGAGTTATTCCCGGCAAACATTTGAGAGCGAGACCCATTCATCAGCTCTTTCTAGGCCTGAGCTATTTGTTTATTTCTTATCCTTAGCAACCGACTATAGAATTTGGCACGCAGGCTGATAAGTCCATGATTTTGTCCTTGAAAGGTTGCTGGTTAATTTAACACATCCAAGTGTGATTATTCTTCGCTTCCGAAAGTATAAATATGTTTTGCTGTTGTTGTTCTTCTTCTTTAGCTTAACGTCAACTGCTATCGTCCATTTA